TCGAGTGGCTTGCTCCTTGTTCTCAAATTCCCTAGTTTCTTTCGAGTGGTTTGCTCCTTGTTCTGAAGTTCCCTAGTCTCTTTTCCGTCTCGTTCGAGCGGTTTGTTCCTTTCTCTCAAGTCTTCTTCTTCTTCTCTTTTGAGCGGTTTGGCACAAGACCCAATCTCAAGTCCTTTTTGAGCGGTTTGCTCTGTGTTTGCAAATTGTTCAGTTCGTTTCGTGCTGCTTGCTCCTTGTTCACAAATCCTCTAGACTCTTTCTTCGAGTGTGTTGCTCCTCTTTTTCAAATTGTCCCATCCGTTTCGAGCGGTTTTCTCCGTGTTTCAAGCTCTCCAGTCTCACTTTTGGCGGTTTGCTGCTTCCTCTCAAATTCTCTACATGGTCTCCCAAGGAGCGGTTTGCTCCTTGCTTTCTCTCTACTCTCGTTCGAGCGGTTTGCTCTTCGTTCCCTTCTCCCCTAGTCCCTTTCGAGCTGTTTGCTCCTTGTTCGGAAATTAACTCTAACGCTACGCTGCCCGCCTCGGCTGGCGGCTCCAGTAGTGCCGCTGCCCAGGGCAGGAAGGGGAAAGGAGAATGAAGGAGAAGAGCAAAGGGAAAACACGCGAGCGAAAGCAGCGGGAAGATGGAAAAGTGGCGGGGAAGATGGAAAAGTGTAAAAGATGGATAAAGAAATGAAGGAAGTGGGGCAGAAGGAAGGAGGGAGCTTGGGGCAGGAAAGCAGCGGGAAGGTGGAAAAAGGAGAACAGGGCAAGGACGTGGGGGAGGAAGAAGGAATGCTTGGAAGAAGAAAGGGCGGGGTAGGGAGGGTGCACGCAGAAACCTGTCCAATGGCACCGCGGCAGTTTGGAGAACGGCCGTTCCCAGGGTTGCGATGTGATGACATTTGCTGAATTACCAGAAACTGCAGCTGCAGCGGAAACGTCTGAGCGCAGCAAATTGCAGCATATGCAGTGTGTCCTTGGTTTTGCTGACATGCTTGTCGGAGATGCGAAGAAGGAACAGAATACCAGACAGCAAGTCAGAGGCAGCTGGAGCAACAAAACAGGAAAACGAAGGAACTTCAACGAGGAAGCAAGGAAACCAAAGGGGAAAAGCACTGAAGAAGCAGGCACGCGAACGAAGCACAGGAAGGAAGGACGGAAAGTGTAGAAGGACACGGGGTGCGGGGGGAAAAAATGAGAACAGGGCAGGAAGGGGCAAGGAGAACCGAAGGAGAAGAGCAATGGAAGAAAACATGCGAGCGAAAGCAGCGGGAAGATGGAAAAGTAGCGGGGGAAGATGGAAAGTGGCAAAAGATGGACAAAGAAAAGAAGGAAGTGGGGCAGAAGGAAAGGGAAGAAAGAGAAGGAGGGAGCTTGGGGCCGGAAAGCAACGGACAGGTGGAAAAAGAAGAAAAAGGCAAGAACGTGGAAGAGGAAGAAGGAACGCTTGGAAGAAGAAAGGACAGGGTAGAAAAAAAAGGAAGTCAAGAGAAGTGGGCCGGGAAGTAAGCAATGGAAAAAACTCGCGAGCGAAGGACAGGAAGGAAGGGTGGGAGATGGAAAGCAGCGGGAAGATGGAAAAGTGGCAAAAGATGGAGAAAGAGAAGAAGGAAGTGGGGCAGAAGGAGAGGGAGAAAGGGGAAGGAGGGGGGGAAAGCAGGGGGGTGGAAAAAGGAGGAAAAGAAACGAAGAACGCCTGGGAAGGGGGGATAGGGACGGCTTTGGGGGGGGGAAGGGGGGGAAAGGGGGGCAGGGGGTGGGTTTGAGGGGGAGGGGGAGGATTAGGTGGAGGGTTACGCAGTATTCACCATCAAAACGCCAGAGGCCTTTGGCCTCGGCGGATTCACTAGGTCCCGTTCGAGTGGTTTGCCTTTCCCTCAAATACACTATTCCCTTTCGAGCGGTTTGCTCCCTGTTCTGAAACTCAGTTGTCTCTTTCGCTTGGTTTATCCTTGTTCTCAAATTCTCTGGTCGTTTTCGAGGGCTTTGCTCCTTGTTCTGAAAATCTCTAGTCGCTTTCGAGCGGTTTGCTCCCTCTTCTCAAATTCGCTCGTGAGCGGTTTGCTGCTTCTTCTCAAAATCTCTGGTCGTTTGCGAGCGGTTTCCTCCTTGTTCTCACAGTCGCGAGTCTCTTTCGAGCGGTTGGATCCTTCTTCTCAAATTGCAATTCGTTTTTGGGCCGTTTGCTCCGATGTTCTCAGATTCCCTAGTCTCCTTGCATGTTGCTCCTGGTTCTCAAATGCTCTAGTTTTTTTAGAGCGGTTTGCTCCTCGTGCGCAAAGTCTCTAGTCTCTTTCGAGCGGCTTGTTCCATGTTCTCAAATTTTCTACATAGTCCCTCTCGAGCGTTTTGCTCCTTGTTCTCAAATCTTCTACTCTCGCTCGAGCGGTTTGCTCTTCGTTCACAAATCCTCTAGTCCTTTCGAGCGGTTTGCTGCCTGTTGTCAAATTCCTTGGTCCCTTTCGAGCGGCTTGCCTCTCATTATCGAGTTCTCCATTCGTTTTCGAGGGCTTTGCTCCTTGTTCTGAAATTCCCTGGTCGCTTTCGCGCGGTTTCTCTCGTCCTTTTCGAGCGGTTTGCTCCTTGTGTTCTAAGATTTTCTTTGTGCTTCTCGGAGCGATTTGCTCCTTCTTGTCAAAGTCCTGTTTCTGTCGCTTGGTTTGCTCTTTGTTCTCAAATTTCCCGAGTCTCTTTCGAGCGGTTTGCTCCTGCTGCTCAAGTTCGATAGTCTCTTTTGAACGGTTTGGTCCTTCGGTTTGGTCCTTGTTCTCAAATCTCGAGCGGTTTGGACCTTGTTCTGAAATATTTTAGTCCCTTCTTTCGATTGGTTTGCACCTTGTTCTCAGAGCCTTTATTCTTTTTCGCTTGTTTCGCTCTCTGCTCTTGAATTCTTAAGTTTCTTCGCAGCGGTTTGCTCCTTGTGTTCTCATTTTTTTCTCAATCGGTTTGTTCCCTTTTCTCACCAACTCTAATCTCTTTCGCTTGGTTTGCTCTTTGTTTCAAATTCTCTAGTCTGTTTCGACTAGTTTGCTCCTTGTTCTGAAAAGCTTCTAGTCCGTTTCGAGCGGTTTGATCCTTGTTCTCAAATTGTTTAGGCGCTTTTGAGCCGTCTGCTCCTTATTCTGAAACTCTCCAGCCTCTTTCGAGCATTTTGGTCTTCGTTCTCAAATGCTTTCGTCTTTTTCCAGCGGTTTGCTCCTCGTTCTTGAATTTTGTAGTTTTTTTCGAGCCGTTTGCTCCTTGGTCTGAAATTTTCTAGTTTCTTTCGAGCGGCTTGCTCCTAGTTCTTGTTCTCGAATTCTCCAGTCCCTTCGGAGACTCCCGGCTCGGTGGCTTTCTCCACTCTCACGTCTTGTCCCCCTTCCTTCCTTGCCCTTCCAGTCCTTTCCGCTGCCCTTCGTTCCTTTTTCTCTCTTCCTGTACCCGGGTCTGTCTATGCGTCTCTCTGTCTCTGTCTGTCTGCCGCTCTGTTTCTCTGTTCTGTTGTCTCTTCTTTCTCTCACCTGTGCTTTTCCTCGTCCCGCTTGGTTTTCCTCCGTCTCTCGTTTTGTTTTTGTTCCCGCCCCTCTCTCTCTCTCTCGCTGTCCTTCCCTCTGTCACTCTCTCTTATTCCACTTACTTACTTCTGTGTCTCTGTCTTTCCGCTTCTCCGTCTCTCTGTCTCTTTGTCTCTCTGTTTTATGTCTCTTTGTTCCTTGTTCCTTCGGCTTTAGAACCCCAAACCCAGGGCGCCTAAAACTTTGGACGACCGACGAGATTGGTTTTCACCTCCTTAATGATTCATTTGTTCTTCGGCCTTAAACCCCCAAACCCACGGCGGGAACAAAAACCTTGTACGGCCTGTCAGGTTTTTCTTTGCCTACCTAGACCCGAAGCGAGAGGTTTATCATGAGGAGCCTTTTCGGGGTGTGAAAAAAGCCCCGCCCATTGTCAGAGCTGTTCCGACTGGAGTTTCTGAGGCTGTTCGATGACGTTTCCTTTCACCAACCTATTTGCTGAGCCACGGATGTCGTGTTTGGCCGGAGGGTGTCGTATGAGTTGAGCATGGAAGCTGTCAGCAGAGTCGGTCGGACTAGAGTGTCTGCGGCTGTTGGCAGGCGCGTCTCTTCACCAATCTCAGTGCCGATTCATGGATGTCGCGTTTGAAGCCGGTTCGTATCGCGGTGCAAGGACTTTTTGATGATATCCGATTTGCATCGAGTCAGTGTTCTCATTTGTATATTTCGCATCTTTGTTGTTGAAGTTGTTTGTCTCGGTAGTGTACTGATATCGTGCATCCCATTGACTCGTCGCAACTGCTATGTTCTTGTGGTTGTGTGCTTCTTGTGCGAATCAGTGAAGGTAACAAGCTGCTTCCGGCCGATCGTGATTCTGTAAAGACGGGTTGAAATTTGATTTATACAAGAGCTTTTGAAGTGCTAGCCTGCGTGCAAATGGTAGGGCGGCAGCGCCTCCCGTCTTACAGGTCCGTCACCGACGAGAGAAACATCCCAAGACATACTCTTGCTTCCTGGCTGCGATACTGTTGAGCCCATCGCTCGCTTGCGAAACAGTCTTCTGGCAGGCGATGAGTGCGACTTCGTCGCCAGGAAGCGAGACCAGCTGAACCATCACAAGGCCATGGTCCACAGACAGGCCGAAAACCTAGACAAGTCCTGGCAGAGTCACAGTCGATGCCGCCCTTTGCATGGCTTGGTGGCTTGGCTTGCAACCTTGGCTCTCGAGACGCAATGAAGGCCATGTCATGCGGTCATATGCTGGCAGGGAGCTGCACAACATGCAGGATGTGTCGCTCGGATCCTTTCACAATCTTGCGCCAGCAGAAGTGGAGCACCTGCAACCAAAACAAGTCTGGTCATGGTTAGCGGCGTCGGGAAAGCAGCGCCCGAAAACAGCCACGGATCCGCAGCGAATCGCAGCGAAGCCATGGGGGCGCTGCAGAGTCGGCCGCATCGGAGGCGCGTTCGTCAGTATCACTGCCGCATGCAAAACGCACCACGGAGATGCGCGGAGGTGAGGATGGAGCGCGGCTCCAAGACCAGTCGCTCGGATCCGAAAAGCAAGGCAAAGGCCTCCATGGCCTCCCACTGGCCCTTCCTTCCGAAAGGTGCCTTTCTTAACCTTGCGCGACAAGGCCAGAGGAGTCGGGACACCGGCTCCACCAGCGATGGCTCGGCCACTGGGCGTTTCTTAATTTCTTAAAGCGTTGAAATCCGGGCCCAGAGAGACTGCTGCACGGCGTTTTTTTTGGGTGGCTGTCGCAACATTCAGCGGTTTCAGCTTCAGCCAATGCTGCGGTACAAGTAGCACTCGGATCTCCCATCGAATGAGGAAGACTCTCTGGACACCTTCGAGGCCGCGCAGCGGCAGGGCATACTCACCCGTGAGGAGCTGCGGTGGCAGAGAGTCGGGATTGAAAGGGTCTCATGAGCGCATTGTGCTGGAGGAGATCGCAAATGCTCAGGTAATCGATCCCGAGCTCTTCACCAAGGGCAGCTTCTTTTGTGCCGCGGCAGAAACAAGGGGGCCAAGAACAGTGTGCCGGGTGTGCTATGCGAGCAGTGTGTTGCCAGTGGCAGGCTCACTCTCTGCACTTTTGGCCGTCATAGGCCTCGTAGTGCGAACCTCAAAAGATCTCACAAAGGAAGAATGGGACTCTCGGCTCGTTTCAGGAAATGGGTCTGGAGACGGACTACCGCTGCAACACCGGACGATGTGAGCTGCCCAGCCGTCGTGGAGCTTCGTGGCATTTGCAGCTCTCGCCTCCTTAGGCGTTGGGGATGAACCGCTTTGGGACTTGCTGAGCCTCTCCTTGCATTCGAGCAGAACGAGCTTTTGGGCTCCTCCGGAGCCAGACAGACCAGTTCATGTCCACCGGGCCCAGCCAATCTAGCCAGCATTTGCACATGGAGCGGGCTTTTTTGGTGTTGCGGCCGTAGTTCTTGATGTGTGGAACAGCTTGGGAAAAGGTTTGTGTTTGAGCATACATAACCCTCACCGGCTCGCACCCTCTCCAGCTTCATCCGTGCCAATCCAAACTTGAGGAACACGTGAGACCCAGAGTCCTGAGCCCAGGAATCTGATCTTCACCATCTTGCCCTTGGCCGAGAACGGCCTGCGCCTCTGGGAGGCCAAGCCGCGAAGGCACGTCCTTGCAACAATCCGTGGGTGGTTAGTCTCCCTTGGGGTGTTTTTTTCCCTCGGTTTTCGCTTCCGCGAACGAAATATCAGAAGTTGGTTCCTTTTATCAGCCCCCGGCACAACCTGCCAAGCAACAGGTTCATCATGGGAGACAAGACAAAGGCCGGACGATTCTGGTTAGTAGCTGCCCATGATGTGAGCTGCTCTTCCGTAGTAGCACATATGTACATACATCCGAGTATACATATACATATACATATACATATATATATATATATGTATATATATATATATATATATATCTGTGCGTGTAGGTGCATGCCTTCCTGCGTGCATGCATACATACTATCATACAAACATGCGTACACATTGATACATGCATAGATAAAACACATGTGCATATAGTCATTTAAAATGTACAGACATGTATCTAACCTATGCATGCAAGCATGTATGCATGTAGGTAGGTAAGTAGGTGTGTGAAGATAAAACATGCAAGACAAAGTATCCTACTTCGCAACATTCTGCGGTTCAAGACCGTTTTGCACCGCGCGCAGTCCAGAGAAAGACGTTTTGTGAAGTTTCAGGGTTAGTTTGGCTTCTCAGTGGAGTGAGTCGGTAGTTGTTAGTGTGGTATTCTGGTACAGTGTACTTTCGCGAAAGAGACTTTGCAGAAGAGCTTCGGCTTCCCTTGCCTATACTTTCACAGCCGGTCTGCTGACTGGGAAAAGTGGCCACGGAATTTTAATGCTTACAGGCTTACAGCTGGACGCTTGAGACAGGTGCGGTGACTTTGCTCGACCGAATTGAGTTGATGAATGATGAACTTGCCGACGAGACATCGTTGGTCGTGTTTGTTACAGGTGATCCAGAAGAAGCCACTGCTTTTCAGCTACTTCATTTTCGGAAGCTACAGTACCTGTTGTCGCAACTTGTGACGGATTCGGCGAAACTTATCGTTCAGCAAAGCGAAGATCCGAAGGGCGAGACTTGGCGTAAACTTTGCAAGAAGTTCTCTCTGCCACGAACCAACAGGAGCACGTCGCTTTTGACACGGCCTTTACGATTCAATTTCAACACTGCAACCTTTGAGCAGGACTTTAAGGCTTGGGAACGATAAAAGCTAGGTGTGAACGACAAACAGTCGGGCACACCTTGGCCGATGAAATCCAAATAGCAAGTTTGCTGAACAAAACAAACACAGCCGTTGCTTTGCTGCAACATCTTCGGTTGAACGCCCGAACTTTGCAATCCTATACACAGGTTGGGGAGGTGATCCTAGAGACCAGCGCCCGCGACCTTTGATGAACCCTGTTGCACAAACTTCGCCTCCGACTGGTTCGAGTGGACAGGTCGGGCGATCAACGCCATCAGCGGACTGTACAATGATAGCAGTTCGGATCAGACTTGGGAAGATTCACTTTGGTCGTGGGCTCATGGGGATGTTACTTGTTTTTGGAAGAGCGTTTGGTGGAATCTACTTGGAATTATACAGACCCCCGCAGAAGAACTTTGCTTCAGAGTGGCCACTTTTGCCACTCACAGGGAGGGCCCCACCTTTAGGTAGATTTTCGGACCTTTGACGGTGTACGGACGAAGACCGTGTGAACGTTGACTTTGAGGGTCAGTCCTGCTTCCTACACTTTTACGTTTGCGACGTTCCATACTGTGTGGTTTCCATCGGCAGGCTTTCGAGGTCAGGGTTTGATGTGCTTCTTTCGTCAAAGTTTCAACACCTGCTGGTCACGAGATTCCCATCGCGGGGCATGGTTCACTGTTGCTGTTGAGGCCCGCTTTGGCACCTGTCAACAAGGATGAGTTTGAGGTTGTGTGCAGCAGTTTCACAACACGAGTGCACAAGGTACTTTAGTGGTCCCAACTTTTCGCACCCCAGTTTACACCCACACTGATAATTGGGAGCTCTTGGGAGATGCTTTGACCCGCACCCGCATTCGGATGCGAGCAGCTTCTTTTTCCCATTGGGCAAAAGATCGCCCGTAGACTTTAAAGACCTTGCTGATGAACGCGTAGCTCTCCTGAAGTACGTGATGGCAGAGAAGAAGTGTTGACAGACAACTGGCCTAACGCGCAGAATCCTAAACGACCTGAAGGCTTTGTTGGTAGAGCTGCTTTCAGCTTACCACCAAACTCACTGGCCGCAAGCTGGTTGACAAACAGACAACTTTACCTGGGCGCGCATAGCCGGAGTCATGGACGAAAGAGCAACGACGGCGGACTTCCCCACAACATCCCACAACATCTGGAATTCATGGAAACTTTGGAGCTGGTGCTGCAGATAAGGGGCCGGACGAAGCTCCAACTGGAAGCAGACGCATTGGACCACGGATGCAGAAGAACATGACGAAGCTTTGCTATCCCTGAGCGGCGCCTAGGAACAGGAAAAACATGACGCCATTTAACTTGTCAATAAGTTTTTAGTAATTTTAGTATTTCCAATTAATTTAACTGCGAAAGTTTCCGCGTCTGTCAGCTCCTGGCCCGATCCCGCGTCCTCCTCCCGATGCCGGGCCGCTCGGAAAAGGATGTAATTAACATATAAACTGTTTACAATATTTCCAAGGTTAGAATTTTGCGCAGCCCGTCCGCCCGGAAATTTTAACAGATTATTTAAACTATTCATAAACAAGTTAGAATTGTTGAAATGTTGAAAAGATCAGAATTTTTGCGGCGCCCGATTGCCCGGAAATCTACTTGTTTGAGATATTGGCATTTTAAATCGACATGTTAAATTGGAACATGTCAGTTATTTTGAAGTAATGCACTATTTGGTACAACGTGAACACGTTACAAACGTCAAATTTCACGGGTTGTCGGCTCCCGGCCGCAGTCGGGAGTAGAAAGGCCAGCGGTGTGAACATCCTGCCACAGGGCCTATTTAGAAACCGCGCTTGTGCAATTGAGCAGAAGTTGACAACACGTAAGCTTATAGACTTGTTGTATATTGTCAATACATTGAAGCAGCTTCTACGTAGATCCTATTTGCTCACGCACGGTGGGAGGGGAGGTTCATGTTGTGTCATTTTATCCGTTGATGTGGCACAAGTGGGTGGTAAAAGATGCACCAGGTCAAGTTCAAGCTGGACTGGGCAAACTGCACTGATGCGCTGCTGGTGCTGCTCAGGCCGTGACTACGGCGGCCCATTCCGTTCTATTGGTGCCCATGTCAGGATTCTGGATGTTTGGGTGCTGAGTCCTGTGGGGATCGACTCAGGCCAAACCTCGTGTCCACTCTTACTGGACAAAGATTCAAAGCCGTTACTGTAGCTGGCATGGATGGAGGTTTGCGCATGGCGACCGGGTTCAGGATCCTTCGCATTGGCCCCGCCGTCAAGCCCGGTGTCCCAGGAAACCCCGTGTTTCCTTACCGAGAAATGCTGCATGCAAGGCATTGGCAGGCGACCAAGGAGCTGCGAGAGCTATGGATCGTGATTGGTGCCGTCTCTGAGACGACGCTTGCTTCAACCTGTTTTTTCGAGACAGCGCAGTAATGGGAAGGTGTTGCCACGCGTGCCACGAGGTTCAAGACGCTCGTCTGGGTGGGAGTCATGCTCATTTTCGTCGCCTGGAAAGTTTAACTCAAGTGTTACATTATCGCAGCTGTCAAAGAAAGCTCTTTACGGATTCCCCGAGGTCATCTGGACCTTTGGCATCTTGATCACCATGTCTCTTATAGACCGACGGGGCGAGGACGCAGTCTCGAAACGCGGAGCAAAACCGTCGATGCGCGGCAAGTGAAGCCCTGCTCCGCAGGAGTTTAACTTCACGGCCTCCACATGGACCTTCGCCGACTACTGGGGCAGTGTGCCACGGAGTGCTTACTCGCTCTTCCAGGCACTTCGGAGGTCGAAGCTCATCACGAGGTACAACTGTGCCTGGTGCCTGTCCTGCCCCCGCAGGTTGCTACCAGAGATAGTTGGATTAGTGCCATGGTGGCGCCATTGATAGAGACTGAGCCACTGTCCTTTGGCAATTCGAGAGGCTCATAGCTCCTGTCTACCCATCCGACCCTCTTGTCCCTCGCCACTTCTCCGGTGTCTTACTAGTTAAGGCTTCTGATTATCTTCGGCTTCTACTTCTGCATCGGATCCCTGGCGCTGATGAACGCCATCATCGGCGTCGTCGTCGAGTGCCTCGGCAGCCGGCTCGGCCGAAGAGAGAGGCAGACGGCAGCGCTCTCTGAGGTGCACGCTGTCTGCAGCGAGGGCCAGCACCGAGAAGGAAGAAGAGGACAAGAAGAGGTGTGTGCATGAGGGACGTGAGTGTTGTGTGCGCACGAAAGCTGTGCCAGTTTCCAAGCTTAAGTAGTGCAGTTCCGCATGGTCGCCAGGGCAGACACGCTGGTCATGGATTCGCTCCGACGGATATTCCACGAGGGTGACACCGATGGCTCCGGTGAGCTGGACATGGAGGAGCGGAGATGTTCTGCGGGTGCCTCGCAGTGAGTCCTCGAAGTCAGGAGTTGCATGCTTTGGTGCACAAGCCGAAGGCATGGAGTGCATCTCTAGCTTCTGCAGGGGAGGTGGACCGTGCGATGTGGAATCTTGGAGGTACGAGATCGGCTCAAGATGCTGAGAATGCCTTTCAGCGTCCGCGGCCTTAAGCGTGGCTGGTGTTGGTGTTGACTGCGAGAGGCAGCCTGGCAGCCTGACTCAGCCTGACGGCCCATTGCCTCTGAAGGATCTTGACCTCCTTTTCACCCTGCTGGACACGGAAAGCAAAGGGACGGCCAGGAACCGAGTCAGCCTTGCGGCCTGGTGTTGGGCCTTGTCAGCCTGGACCCAAGGTGAACACGGACATGTTCTTCCGCGGCTGTGCCAAGCTGAGGACGGATAGCCGCATAGCCGATAGCTGCCCCCCGGCACTGTCACTGTGAGCAGGGGCCCGGCAATGGCGTGTGACTTGCACCAGCTGTCTATCGACCTGAAGCACAACTTGGCAAGTCTTGCCTGCCTTTGCTTGCCTGTAGGCGCTTTGGCGGGGAGGCGCGAGATCGAATCTCAACCTGCAAGGAGCGATGTGACCACAACTCGGAGCGCATACGCCAAGTCAACGAGACCTTGGCGATCGTCTTGGATCATGTGGATGATGCCAGCCGCCAAGTCTTGACGGAATCCAATGCAGCGACCCTTCGTACTACGCTGACAGACATGTCCAGACACACTGAGATGGACATCAGCATCATGAAGAGCGATGTCGATTTCAAGGATCCAGCAGCTTCGGCAGCAAGAGATGCGGGACCGAGCCCCAGCAATGGCCGCGTGAGCAGCACACGCTTAAGAACTCAGGTCCTCGCTGCCCGACAGGTTCGACCCAAGACCTCGAAGTCTGATATCATACGGGGAAGGCCCGGCACGTCCCGGGAGGCTCATGACATGACCTAATTGAACTGCAGGTGGCTGATTCCAGTGGCCCACAATGAGCAGAGCATGTGGCTTGACTTGGATCGCCAAGCCAAGCTCAACGAAGCCAAGGCCAAGGCCACAGGCCAAGCCTCTCCAAGCGCTTCTTTCGATCGCGTGACAGGGCGACCTCGGCTCGGCCAAGATCCACACTCTGACCCCCCAGGTCCCCCAGGTCAAGGTCAAGGACATGCGCGGCGATTCTTGCTCGAGTTCCTCCAAAAAGATTGCGCTTGTCATGGAGGAACGAGCCTTCCGTGACAGTATAGAACCTTGGCACTGACGAGATTCTCGCGAAATTGCACGAAGACTCGCTTCACCAGCATTTATGGCGCTGTTTGTTGCCGGGGCCGCTGCCGAGGACCAGCCACCACCGCCACCCATGCCTGCACGTGTTCAGCCTCTCAAGGATGTGAAGTTGTCGCAGGACGGCTGTGCCCCGGAAAGAAGTTGCACTTTTCATGTTCTGAAATCCCCTGCGCAGGTTGAGCAAGACCGGGCGAGGCTCAACAACCAGATTGCAAAGGCGCAACATTTCGCCAGTTGATCCCAGCTTTGCTTACACAGCACCGGCTTCGCAGGCGTTGCGGAAGCTCCATCGCTTCGAGTGAGGCATAGACGAGCCCCCTCACGGAGTCCAACCCAAGGCACTGCAAAGACTGCAGGGGCTCATGGCTCATAACAGGCTCCGATAGCAGCTCCGATAGCAATGAGTTGCCCGTAGGAGTTGGGTACCGCAGAATGGCAGCGACTGCACCAGAATTCAGCTACCAGACCCAGAGCGAGCAACAAGCAGTGCAATGTCCAAACCTCTATTAGGCGCATACTAGAGATGGTGTAAAGTGAGATCCCGGTTTCACAGTGCACGTGTGCGTCATGTGAAGGGTCAATTAGGGCACGCAGTGCTACCGTCTGCTTCAAGGCAGATCGGTCACAAGGCTTGCTTCGCACTTCGAAACATTGTGGGTTTGGGAAGAGGCGTCCTCAAGTGCCTACAGGGCCTACACGTATAAGGCATTGAAGCTCTTGGGCTTCACTCCCAGGTGATGGTGCCCTGTCAGCACAAGGGCTGTCCTCAGACCTTTACGACCAAACCTGCACGGGGGCCTACAGTCGCATATGATGGTGTCCTTCGTTTCGACTGAGATTGAGGCCATGCGACTCCATTACCGGGTGGCGCACCTGAACCTCAAGGAGTATCTCTGCAGGACGCCCTGGCCCGTGGCCATGTTCTAGCCTGTGCGCTCACCCTTCGTGCTTTCGCCTTTGCTTTCGAAGGCAGTGTGGGGAGGCCTTCGCGTACAAGCGCGTGCTGCGGAGCCACTGCGAGAAGGCCTTGGGCCGACACGGGCCGAGTGCTTGAGGCTGAGCTGTTGGCCCCTGCGCCGGCTCTGAGGTGCATAAGATCCTGCCGACAGAGGAGGAGCTGAAGCCTTGCAAGGATGAGCAGGACCGTCGCGTTCTCGGACTGCTCCTACTACTAATTTTTCTACCAGCGCCAGCACCAGCACTAGCACCACCACCACCACCACCACCACCAGCACCACCACCACGATCACTGCGACTACCGCAACAACAACTACAACTACAACAACAGCTACTACTACTACTACTACTACTACTACTACTACTACCACTACTACTACTACTACTACTACTACTACTACTACTGCTACTACTACTACTACTACTACTACTACTACTACTACTACTACGCCTGCTGCTACTACTACCGCTGCTGCTGCTGCTGCTGCTGCTACTGCTACTGCTACTGCTACTGCTACTGCTACTACTACTACTACTACTACTACTACTGCTACTGCTACTGCTACTGCTACTGCTACTGCTACTGCTACTGCTACTGCTGCTGCTACTGCTACTGCTACTGCTACTGCTACTACTTCTACGACGACGACTACTATTACCACTACTGCTTGATTTACTGCGAGTACGACTGTGGCTACTACAACGACGACTACTCCTCCTGCTGCTGCTGCAGCTTCTGCTTTGCTGATGCTCCTGCTGCTGCTGCTGCGGCAGCTGCTGCTGCTCAGCACTACTACGACGACGACTGGTGCGACCCCGACCACCACTGCCACTGAGCGTGATGCCTGCTACCAGACTTCCCCGACTGCTGCTGCCACCGCAACGCTGCCACCGCAACACGTGATTGCACTTGGGGTGAGGAGATGCTTCGGGTTCGTTGCGGGAAATCGCGACCTGATCGCGTCCCTCACTTCTCAGCCGGGCGGTGGTTGTCACGATGTCGTGTGACCGCAGCAAGCTGATCAGTCCAAGAGGCGAATCGCGCTACTGATCGCTCGGACTTCCCGCAGGACCGCGCCAAGTACGCTCGGGTGGAGCCGCTTGCCTCCACTGGCCAAATGCAGAGTTCAGGCTGCGTAGGTTTGGGGCGTTGCGTGTTCTTGCGGATCCTTCGTACATACATGCTTGCATGCATGCGTATACGTACACACATGCATATACATACATGTACATATACTGTACGTGTGCATATACATATACGTATGCATGTGTATGTACATATACGTATACGTATATGTATACACATATGCATATACATACACATATTCATATATGCATATAATCTACATACACATATACATGCATACGTACATACGAACATACTTACATACATGTTCACATATACATAGACTCTACATGTTATGAGCATTCATACAACAATATATAGGTATATATATATATATATATATATGCTCACCCCCACCCCCCCATGACAGACCGTCGTGGGGAAGGGGAAGGGTGGCGTGCGTCCCCAGGCAGGATCTGTCAACGGATAGGCGACAGACACTTCTCCCAAACTCAATTCCAAAATGTTTTAGATGGTTTGCAATTTTTGGAAATTTCTTCACATGCATGCAGCGCTCCTAGTCCCAATCTTAATCTCAATTCTGCTCTTCGTACCACTATTACTGTTTCTAGATCTTAATTCTTGTATCAGTGTTAGCATTAGTATTAGTTTTGTGGTAGTATTGATATTAGGATGTTTAGTATTAGTAATAGTATTCGAATTAGTATTACTCTTAGTATTAGCATTAAGTATGTAAACTGATGTTAATAGTAGTAGTCGTCGTACTAGCAATAGTTGTCGCACAGTAATAGTAGTGGTAGCATTAGTATTGGTATTAGTATGAGTATTAGTATTAGTATTAGTGACTAGTATGAGTAACAGTATTAGTTTTAGTATTAAGTATGTGTAAAAGTAGTAGTAGTAGTAGTAGTAGTAGTAGTAGTAGTAGTAGTAGTAGTAGTAGTAGTAGTCGTAGTAGTAGCAGTAGTAGTAGCAGCAGTAGTGGTGACATTAGTATTGGTATGAGTATGAGTATTAGAATTAGTAGCTAGTATTAGTACTAGTATTAGTGTTAGGATTAATATGTATTGTTCTTGGTTCTATTCTTAGTACTGCTGTCATTGTTCGTAGTAGTCCTAATCCTGGTATCAGTGTTCATATGAGTAATAGTTTTGTGGTAGTATTGATATTAGGATGGGTATTGCTTTAGTACTAGTATTGGTATTGGTATTTAGTATTAGTATTAGCATCAGTATTAGTATTAGTATTGAATAAAAGTATACATATCAATAATAGTAAATATGAACTCGTGATTATGTTCGTGCTGGTGTTAGTGCCAGTGTCGATGTCAATGTCAGTAATAGTACTCGTGTTAGTATTAGTATCAGTCTGAATGCTGGTTTTAGTATCTGTTTATTATTCACAGAAGTGCTGGTATTAGTATCAGTATTAGAAATAGTTTTGATATGTGAATATACTGATTGGTTCGTACATTTTGAGCTTAATATAATACAGTAATGTATTCGAACAATAGTATATTTGCATAGTTGAAGATTGCGCGAATATATTAGTACGTTGGTGCATGAGTACATTAGTATATTGGTGTATCATGATATTCGTATGTTAACGTAGTAGTATATTAGTATATTATTATAGTGGTCTATTACTACATTCACTATATTCGTATTTTACCTAATAGCTTATAGGTATATCAATATGTTGGCATAATGGCATGTGAACATGTCAGTATACTTGCCTTTTACAGTATTCGTATATTACACTAGCAATTTAGTGATAATTAGTGTTAATGCCAGTGCCAATATCGATGTCAGTTTTAATCAGTCTTAATGATGAATTTAACATCAGTGTAATATTCGCGGACGTGCTAGTATGCGTATCAATACTATAGTTAGTTTTGATATATTAGTATGCTGATAGATTATATAAACAGCTTAGTATACCAACACATTATAATGTATTCGAACAGTAATATGTTTGTATACCTGTATGTTTGTATGCTCTTAGTATATTAATGCATGCGTACGTTCGTGCATGAGTACATTAGTATATTGGTGTGCTATTATCTTCGATTATTAACATATTAGTGTATGAGTATCCTGGTATGCTACTTCATTTATCATATTCGTATATTATCTAACAACTTTTTTGGTATATCCATATGTTAGTATACCATTGCCATGTGTCAGTGTACTTGCATATTACAGTATTCGTGTCTTAGCAAGTTAGCATATCAATACAGTATAATCAGACGTTAACAAGTAGTATATTGTCACGTTGGAAACTGGGTATATGACAAATTAAATACGAATATACTACGTTAGTACACGAATGAATTGATATATTTGCTTTTCAGATAGTGGTATGTATATCTGCGGACATTAGTATACGCAGGTGTCTGTTAGTATTGGCTTTAATATCAATATGAATATGACTATTGGTAGGCGTATGAGTATTAATGTTAATAATAGTATTAGTAATGTGCATATTCGTAATAAAAGCATTAATAAAAATGTCAACGTTAGTGTTAAAAGCACTACACAGTAATCTTACTTGAGTCATATATAGAGCAGATTCCAGCATTTCCAAAAATTCCAAAATTTCCAAAATTCTCCCCCCTAACTTTCCGGATTTCCAAAATTTCCAAAATTTCCAAAATTTCCAAAATTTCCAAAATTTCCAAAATTTCCAAAATTTCCAAAATTTCCAAATTTCCAAAATTTCCAAAATTTCCAAAATTGCCAAAATTTCCAAAATTGCCAAAATTTCCAAAATTTCCAAAATTTACCGACCTAGTCGACAGAATTTTTTCCAAAACATAAGGGCGGACTTTTTGGAAATTTTGGAAATCCGGAAAGTTAGGGGAGAGAATTTTGGAAATTTTGGAAATGCTGGAATCTGCTCTATATATGATTCAAGTAAGATTACAGTGTAGTGCTTACTATGTAGCGTATCAGCACAACCCTCATCCATACACGTGTGCTCTGTAATTCCTTTCTTGGTAGGACACCCGCGCGCCTTATCGTGCTGCTTTCTGGTCTCAGTCTTTTGGTGGTTCCAGGGATACGTTCGGAGGGCTCAAACTCGATACCCCAGAAAAAGCACGAACACGCCGGTGGGAGCGATGTTTTGAAGGGGATGGTCTGTCATGGGGGGGTGACCATATATATATATATATGTGTATATATATATGTGTATATATATATATATATAGTTACATATGCGGGGATATATGCATACACGTATATGTATATGTATGTA